AGCAGGTTATAGAGGCTATAAAAAGGCATGGAGTTACATCGGGGAGGGGCAAGTCAGAGCATCGCTCATCTCCCTGGTTATTAACGGGTTAATCAAGAAAGGGGTGGGAGCTATGGGAATAGGAAGGTGGGGGGGGAGGGGGGGGACTATTTTAAAGCCACCAGTATCTTGATAGTCATATAAATACAAATTGTACATCAGTCAGGTATCTAAAATGTACAGAAATTAGGATGAACATTTCTTTATAGCTTTATTTAATAGATTACGTTTTTTTACAGGAGGGATACATTTAAAAAAAAAAAAAAAGACCCCACCTTGGTTCCGACTGAGTTGGCTTCGGATCCCGATTCCATGTGCTGCTATGTTTTTTTGCTTATTTCTTCCATCATGGCATCAGAGAAAGAAATGAATCAAATAGAAAATAAACACACAAAAAAAGAAAGGATAGCTGACAGAATGGAAGGATTAGACTGCAAGCATATTTTTTTTATAATACTTGTTCTTCGGTAGAGAAAAAGCGAGAGAGGGAGAGAGGGAGGAAAAAAGTTAGTTCTGTTGAACTTAGCAGAGAGCGGTCTTTGGAACCGATGCCAAAAGAGGCAGGATGTCCCTCTTACAATAGCCGTACAGTGATATGCCTCAAACGGAAAAAGCCAAAATGTTGGTCTTGGGGAGTGGGGGGGGAGAGAAATGTTTCATGTTATTACATATTGTTTTTACTCTGATCTTTCCTCCACGAATCCCTGAACAAGTACAATGACTTTGCTGAGAAAGTGGGAACGCAGTAAGTACGTTTTGCAAACCCCATTTCCAGCAAAGGGTTAAAGAACAGGTTTTATTTGAATAGCTCATTGGATGGTGGTGGTGGTGGGGGTGCACTGTGCTCGATTCCTGCTAAAGATTTTTTTTTTTTTTAAAGAACTATCTCACTGGGTGATTTTTTTAAAGAAGTATCGAAGAGCTTTTTTTTATTTATTTTTTTATTAAAAGATTGTACTGGGCAGCGTGACATTATCACAGAATCACTAGGGTGTGTTTTAGGTAATACAGGGGGTGGGAGCGTAGAATAGACTCCTTATGAGCTCTGCACTAAACACAGGAGAGAAAATGGAGGACAGTCACTTTTTTGTCCCCCTTCTCAAGCGGGGTAAATAATATGCTAGATCCTCTGGCATTCGTAGTCTGCCTTGCAGTTGAATTTTTTTTCTTCTATAAGCACTCTCAATCAAACTACAATCATGGCAGCTGTTTTTTTGTTTTTTTTATTTCTTCCAGCAGTCGAGCTGTTTTGCCCAAACGCTTATCAGCTTTTGACTCTGTGCCAAGATATAGTAAAAAAAAAAAAGGCCAAGCGCCCTCGATTCTTTTTTTTGCAGATGGTTTTAAAGTGAAAGCAGAGTAGTTACTGTGTGAGAGAGGAGGAGGAAAGGACGAGGGATGGTTGAGATTCAGAGGGCACCCACTCGAATTGAAACATAGTAGGAGAACACTACGGGTTGACTGGGTGAGGGCTGTGTGCTGCCGCGTGCTGGAGGTTCTAGAACAGATTCATGTTTGAAGGTTGTGGGGCAATGCTTTTTGCAAACAAAACTCAGGCAGACATTTTTATTACGTCACCCGAATATCAACACATATCGAAAGGAGTTCTTCCATTTTTTTGGCGGGGGGAGCGGTGGGCAGGGAGGGGAAGTGGAGGCGATGGGCATAGTTGCTCTTTATCTCATGTACGCCATAAAAGGAGTGGCCATGTCGTACATTTAATTTGTGTTTGACGATGTTGTAAATTTGATACAATATTAAACTTTACGACAATAGTACATTTTCAAAATGAACACTTTTAGTTCTCGATTAAACTTACAAACAAATAATATTTTCCTATCAGACTCATAGTTATGTTTAAGATTTTGGGTCAAGCCCCTTTTTGGCTCGAAATTTGTCACACAGGTTTCCATTTCTGTATGCACTAGCCTGTTTTATAACAAGAGGTGTTTTTTTTAAATTTTTTTAAACTCATCCAATGGGAGACTGCAGATAAAATCAAAGGCATAATTTATTTTGGCGCATACGGTTAATCAGTGTCATGTTTCCAGACATTGTATTGGCCCAGCTCCCCAAAAGATATTTGTTAATATATAATGGAAGTGTGCAGCTATTAAAAAATAGGTGTGGATAATTTTTTCTTTTTTTTTTTGAAAGCCAAACATTTTGGCTGCCTGAACTTGGGGTACTTCATGTACGCAAATCAAGCATCAGGCTGTTTATTGAATAGAGCACATGCCAACATTTTCTTAATGCCCTGCGAATCACTAAGAGGCCCAAGTAATGCCCCTTTCTAAATGCTGTGCATCTTTGCATCTCGTTCTTTCATTTTAGTTAGCATTTTTGCTCACTCAAGAGGTATGATATTGAGAATATAATTTTTTGGCCACGTACGATCTGGTCTGATGAATATCAATATTTGGTCAATTCGGTGCCGAAATGGTGTCAAAACAATATTTGCACAGAGAATTACAAAGTAACTTGTGACAATGTGATTTAACAATATTTGTACTCTGTATAGGTTTGTGGTTTTTATTTTATTTTTTTGGTGTAATAAAAGTAGAAAAATGTGTAAAAAATACTTGTGCATGGTCAGGTTTGAAGATTTGCCCTAGCGTGTCACTCCAGGCAGACACTGGCCCGCAACTCCCGTTGTGTCCAGCAAAGCCATTGATGACTTGAAGTGATAGGAGTTGCAGCTCTTCGCTGTTTCCCAGCTCTGATTCAGGACGAGGCCACGTCCCTTCTGATGGAGTGTTTTATTGTGCTGTGTCTGAAGCTGCCATGATACCACAGTCGTGGCTGAGAACTCATGCACTGTCTCGATGTCTGCAGCCTGTGTTTGTGTGAGGGTACATGTGATAAAATCTAGCTTGCTCATACGGGGCCGAGCCTCTGTTTCATCATCAGTTTTAACCCATCTCTCATTTCGCTAGCTCATGCACTCCACCTCTTTTCCTGAGGCAGGCTGCTTTAGTCGCTCACAAGGGGGAGATGAGAGTCTGCAAATAGCTCTTAATGCAGCTTGCTTTCTTTGCAAGGGCCTCCCTTCGATTGCCTTGTGCCAGGACTCAACTTTTTTCTATTGCAGCAAATATAGGATCATTTTTTTTTTATTTCTGCTTTTTATTTTTAACCCTCTGCCTTTATTTTAGATTATTTTCTTACGTGGACTTATTTTTTTGCCTCTTTTCTTATTTTTCTAATCCTCCCATATTTTTCAGTTGATCTTGACTTTAGATTTGGGTTTTTATTCCCCCCTCCCCATCCCCCGTCTCATTTTTATTTTTGCCCCCTGTTTTTTTGTAATTATCGGAATTGATCCTTTCCCCCGATTTATTTATTTTTAGTATTTTTATCAATATAACAATGACACGTGGTTATGCCAATTTGCCGTCTTTAAGGACCACGTGCCCCCAACCCCCCACCGCACTCTTTGTCCTTTTTTTTCAAATTGTGACGCATTTGATCATTGGGCAAATAAACCGCCCTTTTCCGTTTTTTTTTTTTTTTTGCCGCGCTCCAACACGCCTAACTAAAAGGATGGATAGTTTTATTTCCTCTTTTAATCAGACGATGGCTACACGAAGAATCATGCTTTTTCTTCTATTCAATTTTTTTTGCCCTTGCTTCTCTCTGTCGGTTTTTTTTTTGGGGGGGGGGTGGGTAGTTTGGAATGGGAGGGAATTGCGTGTGTAATAATGCACTGCCTGGGACAGGTTCCAGCTTATAGACAAAAGACATGAAATAGACGACATAGATGAAAAATGGCAGTAAACAACAACATTAAAAAAAAAAGAAAGATAAACCAACGCGGGCTTTCTGGGTTGGCGTGGCAAAAGCAGCATAGCTGGCAAGGTGCATAGATTTCTTTTTTACTCCACATTTTGATATAGTTATTATTTATTTATTGTTTTACCTCTGTCTGCAGCCAAATGAAAGCATGTATTTGTGTTAAGGGGGGGCAGGGGGCATTTTATCTCTTTTTTTAATGCCTGCTGCATTATTCATAATTACATAGTGAAGTAGGGACTATTAGCATGCACCAGATCTGCTGTTTGTCTGTTTGCTAACATTCCTCATTCAAGACTTGTTAAATGCCAGACAGCCTTCCTCGTTTTCTCTCTCCCTGTCTCTCCTGTGCCTTTCATGCCACCTCACTAAGCCTTCTGTCGTTGCTGGGTTCTGGTAGCCAAGGATAGTGGTGGCAAAGGGAATATGCACAGATCAGAATCTGCAGCTAGTTACTTGGCTAGCACCGCCTACAAGTCCTCACAGGCCTGCAAGCACTTGCAAAAAAAAAAAAAAACCAAGAAATTGAGCTCTGACTTCTCTTCTTGTCTGCTTTTCACAGGAGGCTGCAAGGTGAACAGTTTCAGTTTTTTTGTGTCTCCGTCGCTCTGGTCCCCAAGGCAAGCTTTCACAGACCTTAAACAGGGTAAGGCTGATTAATCCAAAGGATGATTCATTGTTGCAGATCTAAAAAAAAAATTAGATTTTTTTTTCATGTTTTATATTTTTGGAATGTTTTGAATTTTTTTTCTTAAAACTCTAGAGTTACTGTAAATATAGAAAAAGGGACGTTTTGTTTTGTCATGTTAGATGGGGAAGTGAGCGTTACATTATAGGTGTTGGTTTTTGGGTGATAGAAACCTACAAAACTATATTTTTCTTTTATGTTTTCAGAATTCTGATTGGGAGAGAGCCCCAGATTTTTAAAATGTCTTAATAATTTAGGTTATTTTTAACTGTAATCTTGTTTTATAATACTGAAACAATTTTGCTGTGTCTTCCTTCCTACTTTCATTTTCACACAGCAGAAGTCAGACACATTTTACGTATGGTTACTTAGTACCTATTGGAGCATATCTAAAAACCCGCTATGATATTACAACTTATTATCTGCCGTATTATTTTTCTGCTTACTTAGATGTGGTATTTTCTGCCATCTTATGATTTTAATGTAAGCCTTTTGATTTACCATGGCTAACAGTTGTGTTAGAAAGCCTCTGTGAATAGATGCAGTTTTTTTGCACGGTATGAGTCTGGCTGATATGCTCACTTGCATTAATCTGTTAACAATGAATAATAATTTGGTTTCCTAATTGTTTGCTGAAAACTGACAGCTTGGGGGGGGTTTTCGGGCCTTCAAATCTGCACTACTACTATATTGTCACAGTACCTTCAAATGGAAATGGGAGCGTTTTTTCTGTCTTAGCAATGCCGAATTCAAAAAACAAAAAGATAAATTGTATTATATATATATATATATATTATTGTTTTTTGTCATATATCTGTATATAGAAAGAGTGTGTGCGTGTGTGTATATATATATATATCTGTGAGTGTGTGTATTTATACATACATGTATATATTACATATATCATATATGTATATAATATTTACGTGTGTCATAGAAAATAATTTAAAATTTATATTAATTTATAGTCAAATTGACGAAACTTGGCTTTTCGGAGATGTGAATTTGCATTTAAGCTCCTTGCCCTGCCACGGCTCGTCCATTATCCAAAATATTGTGTTTTTAATGTTTTTGAAATAAAATGTGGCTCAGGTGACGTGAAATCCCCCACGAACTTTCCTTTTAGGTTAGATTAACACACTATATCAATAAATATATCTGCATTTAAAGCATCAAAGAGTACTAAGCAGGTGTAACTCACAAAACCTCTCATGCTGCAAACTATACTACTGTACGACTTGAAAATATCATTTTCTTCCAGGTATCTTTGTCACTTAATGACTCATAATGTTTGTTACATATGTATTTATTAATATTATATAGAAACATGTTATATAATTAGTTCATGTGTTAGCTATTAGTGTATTTATGTAATATATATATATACATAATTGTAGATATACTGCACATTTGTTTATAAAAATGGCCCTACATATGTTTAACAGATTATATGTAGGGAGATATAGCTTTAGTGCATATCCGATATACGTTGGTGTTGTACAGGTCAGAAGATATGTAAAAATCCTTCTTCCTCAGAATCTTACCTGGTAAATACCGTCAATAAACTACCAGCACTGGTTTTTCTTTTGTTTTTTTACTGGTGAGGTACGGAGGTACCTTTTTAAGGGACATAAACATCGCAATTCTACAATATTCGTACAGCGCAGGGGATTCATGGAAATTTAGGAATTACAGTGTACTTGTTGCTTTGGAAATATATTTCTGTAAAAAAATAAAATCAGTTAACGAGGGCAGAAGTATAACGCAGTATTGAAATTTTAGACAATTTACTACTGTGGAAAGGTAAAACAGATCATCGAGGGGTATTTGGGCCTTGTGTGGAATTGGTCTAACTGAATTTTTCGACCTGATACTCTGTGTCCTTGACGTATTGATTTATTAAAACCAGTGTCGGAACACTCAAAAATGTACAAATTTGAGCTTTTGTTTTTCTGGTTTTTAAGTGCAAAGTGCCCAAATACAAACAGAATTATTTCCATTGTTCTGCTGGCAGTGAGCTTCCCTCTTTCTCATGTATTATAGATGAAGCATTAATTCTGGAGGGGAAGATGCAATTTTCATAGTGTTAGAAGACTTAGCAATGAGACAGAATTAAGAAAATTAATTATGCGCCGAATACATTCTGCGATCTGCTAGTTCATACTAAGTGTTACGTTTTTTTTATGGGATTTCTGAAAAAAAGATTATGCCATTTTAATACAGTGGGGTGTCTATCAGCTGGCCCAGGACTCCTGTGTGTTTGTATTTAGTTCATTTTTTTCCTTAAATTGCTTTTCAATAGCACATTTCTCTGCAGAATAAAAACCAACTTAAATAAATAAATAATAAATAAATATATATATATATATATATGGCTACAGATTATTTTGTGCACAGAAACAAGATTATAGGTTATGTTTTCTAAGGCCCAGTCAACACCTCTTTAAAAACAAAAATATACAGTCATATTTACATTACGTGAAAAATATAATTATAAAAATTGCATTGATCAGTTATTCGCACTACACAATAAACTAAAATTAAATATAAGCATTTGAAAAAAAAAAAAGTAGAGATTATGCCACATTAAGGATCGATTGGCATGACTCTAAAATTAGTCACCTCAATTATTAGAAAAGAAAAAAAATATATTACACAGTCAATAGTGGTAAAATAAAATCAGCATTTAGAATAAAATACACCAAAAGAGAGTCCATGAGACTGTCTAACCTTGTTTGATGTTCCCATTTGGTCTGCTTGAGCTTAAATTTTACAAATACAAGTTTGAAGTCGACACATCTCACCGTTTAGTCGATAACACCCAAACATAATATTTGAAGCTGTCATTGCCATATGTAATTAGGGGAGAGTCAGACAATAATCATCAAAGCAGATCATTGTACTAGACTATTAATGTCACTAATTGTAAAAGAGAAACCGTATAAAAACAAGATGGACAAGATCCAAAATTCTCTCTATAA